TCTCCCCTATTCCTTGGCAAACAACGAGCAATAGCACCATATAAGGTAATAATTGCCGGAGCCTTGTAGCAGGGCATGGGTTGTCATCTCTTGCTTTTTGCAAAACATGTTTGCTCGAGCGCGCCGTTTCGCGCGGCTCGAGAGTAGGCAGCCCGCGATTGGGCGCCGGTGACGGCGGCCGGCGCTGAGCGCGACCGTTGCCGCCGCGCTCGGGTTTGGCATCACGCGCGTATGCCGTGATCATGACTCATCTCGAACATCCCGCCCGCCTCGCCCGATGCAACTGGCGAAATGTGCTGCTGAGTGTAGAATGGCTAAAGCGTCCCCGTCCCCGTGGGGACTACGCTTCAGCCCGAAAAAAAAACGCCAAGAAAAGCGTCGCGTCCTGCCCTCACGGGCCCTATGCAGGCGAAGGGCGCTGCGTGTATGCCGGGAGACCACGTGTCCCTCGATCAGCTGACAGGCGAGACAACCATACGATCCTCCTTACGTAGCGTGTGAGGCGATTGCGAGCGGGTGACCGCGAGTGTTGGTGAGATGAGAGTGACGAGCGGGATGTCGTGGGGGCCCAGAGTCAGCGCAATTGTCTTCCTCCGCATCGGCGTCGCCGTCCGGCAGGAGGACGAGCTTGACGACCGGCCGCGTGAGCACGGTCGTGGGGGTGCGGACGTCGACCACTCGGATCTGTCCGTCTTCTCCTTGGTGGACTCGGATGATGCGCGCCAACGGCCACCGAGTCGGTGGGGTGCTCTCGTGTCGAACGAGGCACAAGCGGCCGACCTTGAAGGCTGATTTCTCTCGGCACCACTTCGGGCGGTGCGTTAGGGAGTGAAGATATTCTCGGGACCAGCGATCCCAGAAGTGGTCCCGCATTTGCTGTAGCAGCTGCCAGCGGGACAGGCGGTTCGTCGGCTGTGCCCCAATGGGGGGCTCAGGGACGGCGGTCAGCGCAGATCCCACCAAGAAGTGACCCGGGGTAAGCGCCGCCAGATCCTCCGGATCATCGGATTGAGCCTGGAGCGGACGCGAATTTAGGCAGGCCTCAATTTGGGTGAGGAGCGTAGACATCTCCTCGAAAGTTAGAGTTGCATCGCCCAGCACGCGGCGCAGGTGGTGCTTGAGCGACTTGACCGCGGCCTCCCAAAGACCACCGAAATGCGGAGTAGACGGCGGATTGAGTTGCCACTGGATCTGATCATCGGCGAGCTGTTTGCTGACTTGGCGCAGCTCGGGGCTGCTTGTCGAGAAGAACGCCCGCAGTTGGGCGTCCGCGCCCACAAAGTTAGTCCCGCAATCGCTTCGGATGGTGCGGCACAGCCCCCGGCGGGAAGTGAACCGCCGCAAGGCGGCCAGGAAGGCGTCGGTGGTGTAGTCGGAAACGGCCTCTAGGTGAACTGCTCTGGAGGACAAGCACACGAATAACGCGATAAAGCCCTTGTATGCTTTGTGGCCTCGCCCTTTGGCTGTGCGCAGCTGGATCGGACCGGCGTAGTCCACGCCGGTATGGAGGAAGGGCCTCGCTGGAGTCACTCTCTCGCGGGGGAGACTGCCCATCAATTGTTGTGGAGTCGCCGCCCGCCATCGCACGCACGGCA